TTGGGTAACTTTTGGGGTTTTAGTAGACTGCCTTTTCGAAATTTTGTTTGTGATTTTAAGGACCGGCCAGAAATTTGTAGGATTTTATTAAAATGGTGGTGGTTTCTCCACTTTTTCGGAACGTTCTGAAAAAACTCAAGAAAAGGCCAAAGTTACGAAAATCAATCCCCTATATGCTGTCGGAATGCCAAATAAATACAAACCAAATATTTGTTTAAAAACATTTTTTAGCTTAAACTTTGGGTCATATTTAAAAATAGATCTCAATTAATTCCAAAAAAATTTTTAGTCAACAAACACTTGTGAGGAATTCTTCCATCAAACTGGTCCCACAACAACAAGTTCTACAAATAAATTTTTATTTCAACGCCCTCCAATTGATGAATCCTTCATTTCTCCATTGAAACAACAATGGAAAGGATTCTTGTCTTCTCCTTCAAATTCTTCAACTGATGTCAACAAAAATTGTTTAAAAACACCTTCACCTGCTCGAATGATGAGGCAATCTGTTATTTGTAAAAATATTGGGAATCTGTTGCTGATGACTCCAGGTTTGTTTTTTTAATTTTTTGGGAGTCATTTTGGAGGGATCTCTTTATTGTAGAGAGTTTCTCATTCCTTCTCTTTTTAAAACCCCTTGGTTTTGAAACCCTTGTTTAACTTGAATTCAACAGTTAAACTTAAGCTTGATGTTATTAATTGAGGGTTAATTTGGAAGTTCATTTCAGGGATTAATCGTGTTACCCAACCCCGATCCTACATTTTTGTCAACCAGGTCCCTGTTCCACTTTCTCTGTAAGAATGTGACGCGAAGGAAGTAAGGTTTTAATCCGCTGAAGTTCTTGTTTTCCTTCCTGTTTCTAAATTCTTTTCAAATAAAAATTTATCTTCTAATTTTTAGAAAAAGAATATGATGAGGAGGAAGAAGAATTTGATGAAGACAACGAAAATGAAGAAGGAGACGATGATGAGGAAAGGGAAGAAAAATTGAAAGAAGAGAACAGCCATCTAAAAACAACTTCAAATACAATAAAAAAATATCCAACAAAGAGAAGAACAGCCACCAAAAAACAAAATGGAGGTAATTTTGTCAAATTAAATATGCGTCATCGTCGATTCGCTCCAAGTAGTAAGTTTCAAATTAAAAAGAAGTGGAGAAGAAAATTTAAGAATTAGAAATTAATTTTATATTTTATATTATTTCGCTTGTTTTTAGTCAAATTTTATGTGTTTGAGTAAATAAAGTTAAATCAGTTGTCATTAAATCTATCGTTTTTTCATTATACGTTATCGAAAACTTAAAAAATTCAAATCGATCTCGTGAAAAAAATAGTGGTTTTTGCTACATATAGCTCGAGGAGGCAATTTTCACGTAACCAAGACTCTAGTAATCCTTTTGAACTGTCTCACATTTTTAAGTAGATGGAATGTAGTGAGAAGAGAAAGAAAATGCTTGAGATAGTTAAGATGTTGTGATGTAATATTAAAATAAATGACATTTTGTCCCCTAACTTAGAGAAAATATAAAAAAGAAATAGTATAGTTAGAGAAAAAAATATTTTCAAGTGTTTGGGTCGTTTCAGTGCTGTATATTGAGAGTAAAAAACTACTGTATTTGAAAATTTTAGGTCACATTGAAAATGGAATTTGATGTTTTGGAAGGTGATCTATAGGGTATCCATATGTTAAAATGGATTTGATGTTTTGGATGGTGATCTATAGGGTATCCATATGTTAAAATGGATTTGATGTTTTGGACGGTGATCTATAGGGTATCCATATGTTAAAATGGATTTGATGTTTTGGACGGTGATCTATAGGGTATCCATAAGTTAAAATGGATTTGATGTTTTGGACGGTGATCTATAGGGTATCCATATGTTAAAATGTATTTGATGTTTTGGACGGTGATCTATAGGGTATCCATATGTTAAAATGGATTTGATGTTTTGGACGGTGATCTATAGGGTATCCATAAGTTAAAATGGATTTGATGTTTTGGACGGTGATCTATAGGGTATCCATAAGTTAAAATGGATTTGATGTTTTGGACGGTGATCTATAGGGTATCCATATGTTAAAATGGATTTGATGTTTTGGACGGTGATCTATAGGGTATCCATATGTTAAAATGGATTTGATGTTTTGGACGGTGATCTATAGGGTATCCATAAGTTAAAATGGATTTGATGTTTTGGACGGTGATCTATAGGGTATCCATATGTTAAAATGGATTTGATGTTTTGGACGGTGATCTATAGGGTATCCATAAGTTAAAATGGATTTGATGTTTTGGATGGTGATCTATAGGGTATCCATATGTTAAAATGGATTTGATGTTTTGGACGGTGATCTATAGGGTATCCATAAGTTAAAATGGATTTGATGTTTTGGACGGTGATCTATAGGGTATCCATATGTTAAAATGGATTTGATGTTTTGGACGGTGATCTATAGGGTATCCATAAGTTAAAATGGATTTGATGTTTTGGATGGTGATCTATAGGGTATCCATATGTTAAAATGGATTTGATGTTTTGGACGGTGATCTATAGGGTATCCATATGTTAAAATGGATTTGATGTTTTGGATGGTGATCTATAGTGTATCCATATGTTAAAATGGATATGATGTTTTGGATGGTGATCATTTGGGTATCCATATGTTAAAATGGATTTGATGTTTTGGATGGTGATCAATAGGAAATTATTGGATTTTGCGGATCTGAGATTTGCGGACCAGAAATTTGCGGACTGCCAGTAGAGTAATTGACTTAGGAAATTTCAAAAAGTTTATGTCATCTAATTGGGATGAACTTTGCCGAAGTCACCGAAAAAGAAAATTTTTCTTTTCTTTACTCAAATGACGGTCCTCAAACTTTGGGTTCGCAAAAATGATTATATATTGATATTAATTTAGTAATTGTGATCCGAAAAGATAAAGTTTATTGATTGCAACTTATTTTCAACATGTTATTACCAAAATTTTTTGCAAATACAGTAGTTTTTCACTCTCAGTATACAGCACTGAAACGACCCAAACACTTGAAAATATTTTTTTCTCTAACTACACTATTTCCTTTTTATATTTTCTCTAAGTTAAGGGACAAAATGTCATTTATTATAATATTACATCACAATGTCTTAACTATCTCAAACATTTTCTTTCTCTTCCTTCTACATTCCATCTTACTTGAAAAGGGAGACAGCGAAACAAAAGGATTACTTGAGTCTTGATAACATGAAAATGGCTTCTCGAACTTTATGTTCGGCCTCCAAGCAAAAACCGCTGTATTTTTTCTAGAGGTCGATTCGAATTTTAATGAAAAAATGAAATTCAATGACGAGTGATTTAAATTTATTCAAACACATAAAATTTGGCTAAAAACTAACAAAATTATATAAAACGGGAGGTAATAGTGTCGTTTGTGGTTCACCTTTTTTCTTCTCCCTAGAAAAAAGGCAGTTCTTTTCGTTATTTTAAAGGTTGCCAAAATGTAATTGGATGTGCTGAGTTCGATATTGAGTTCATATTCTATCTTATTCGAACTAGATTCATTCTTATTCAATCTTTAAAATATCAAAAAACATTTCCTTTTTCTTTTAAAGAGAAGGATGGGGAAACACAAAACGACACTATACAAAACGGGATAACTGATACAGTCAAAATTAAAAGTCTGACGATTAATCCAAATTTCTTTTCATTTTTGAGAAAATGTCGAAGGTTTTCCAATATCTCGATTATTAATTCGACTGTATTTAATTAAACAAAAAATTTAAAAAAACTATGATTTCCTTCTCCATCTTCATTCCCAAAATCCAATTTTGATATTTGTGCCTGCTCCTTTTGTAATTCCATTGCTTCTTTATTGCTCAACAAGTTGATGTTGTCTTCTAGTTCAACCATACATTCTAAAAAACAAAAAGGTCTAGAATTTGTGTTTGTAAAAGTTTAAGCTTGGAAATCTTTAAGAGAGAGGGAGGTTTATGTGACCCAATTCCGGAAAGAAGAATAAATATAAAGATGAAAAACTCAGGTGGTAAAAATGGGGTGTGGGGAAAATAAGGGAAAAATCCCACCCGAAAACTCGTGTGGGACAACAAAAACCCCCTACAAGTCACAATACCCAAGGGGAGCAACTGGACGGAGATTTAACCATTGATAACGGGGATTTTTTAAATTAGAAAGTTTTAAAAAGGGGCAAAACTTGAAATAAACGAAAAATTGTGGAAACCAAATAATCAACCCAATAAATTAATTTCCAAACCTAATTTTCTGAATTCTAACAAAAGATTGGAGTTCTTCAGTCACGTTTTCTGATTCTTGTTCTTCTAAAGCAGTCATCAAATAGACGGTCTTCCCGCAACAATTCGCCGGCCTAAAAAATAATCTTGCAACCATAGTAAACAATTAAAAACAACCTCTTTAAAAATTTGTACAGCTTCTGGATACTCTATCAAAGCTGAAAAATAAGTAATTGAAAAACTTAAACATAAAAACAACCTATCAAAAGATCAACCATTCAAAACAAGCAAATCATCACATTTAACCAATGGAACATCTGCAGTACGTCTTCTCATTTGACAAGAACCTGGCCACCATGAACCAAAGAGGTGAGCAGCGAACCTACATGAACCACAACAGTGATGTTAATGTCCAAAACTCCATATTTGCTTGTGTTATGTCTTAAATGACAAACGAGTTATGAAGTAAAGCTGGGAACTGATAAAGCTTTTATACTGTCATTACGTGCCCTAAAAAATAAACTTTAGGCCATAGTAAATAACTAAAAATAACCTCTAAAAGTTTTTATAGCTGCTGGGACTCCATCAAGGCTAAAAATTGAGTTATTAAAAAACTTTTAAACATAAAAACAACCTGTGAAAAGATCAACAATTCAAAACAAACAAATCAGTAAATCCAACCATCGAACATTTGCTGTGCGTCTTCTCGTTCTGGCCATCATTTGATTGGCTTTAACATTCATTTAAGGGATAAACTTATATAAGGGAGAAACTTTGCGGACAAGACTTGCGGATATTTAATAAAGTAAAACAAACCATGTAGACGAGAGCATTGGAGTTTAATGTAGACGAGAGCACTGTTTGGAGTGAAGCCAGACTGCCCAGGTATCGCCGAAGCGAAGAGTGGGACTTTTTCTGCCCAAATATCGCCGAAGCGAAGAGTGGGACTTTTTCTGCCCAAATATCGCCGAAGCGAAGAGTGGGACTTTTTCTGCCCAAATATCGCCGAAGCGAAGAGTGGGACTTTTTCTGCCCAAATATCGCCGAAGCGAAGAGTGGGACTTTTTCTGCCCAAATATCGCCGAAGCGAAGAGTGGGACTTTGTTGCTCCGCTCCAAACACTAAAAATGGGATTCTATTTTTAAAAATTAACCCTAAACAAACGTTTTGTATCGGCTGCTGAATTACTGAAAAAAATTGTATTAATTTTAAAAAAATTAAAAACAGCAAGTCTTGTCCGCAAGTCATTACTACTCCCCACCCCTCAAAAAGGCTAACCCCAAAAAAAAGGAAAAGCCACGCTCCAAGTTGTGAACATCTTTGCTATAAATGGCAACAGCGAACACTAGATGAAAAAATAAAAATCGATTATTGATTTTTGGGATGAAGTGTCATTTATTCTTAATGTTTTGCATTATGCCAAATAGAGTAAATTTTCGAATTCTGAAACGAATATTCTTAAATGGCAAAAGAAATACAACAGTTTTTAAACCGATTTACAGATTTCTAATTTTAAATTGGAAATTTGTTCTATCAAATTTAAAAAGAATAAAAAATAGAAGCAAAAATGTCAAAAAATGGAGTCTCTATACACCGACATCGTTGAAGCCGTTTTAGTCGAATAGACTAACAGGGGTAAATTTTCAAAAGAATACTTTTTTCAACGGAAATCCCTCTTTCTTTCAACGGAAATCTCTCGCGCAACTTTACATAAATAAGAAATAAAGAGAACTGCGAAATTTTCGAGGATTTCTCACAAAAAAAATAAAATATAAGGTAATAAAAATCGAATTTTTATAATTATCGATATATTATGCAATAATATATGGTGCTGAAACACAAACTCCAACCACTGTTCCAATCATCAAAAACGAAAAAATATATAGGCAGAGACGATCAACCACCATTGCCGCAAATTTCTACAAAAAATTTGTAATGTTAAAAAAAATATTTTTAGAATACCCAGTTGCTCGATTGTTCGCCTTCTCGATCTGCCTCTGTCATTCTTCGAGTGATTAACTTAAAAATTTAAACAATTATTAAAAGAAACTATTAAAGAGAAGTCAACCCTGACCAACACCCTGAGACTTACAATTTTTAAAATTAAGGTAATATCGATGGAGGGGATAGAGAGCTCTACTTCCCCAGAGTTATAGTACACACTCACAATACCGGACAAAGCTGAGTATATCCACCTTAATCCCTCGATTATTCCCTTTCAAAAGTTGTAGGTCTTAAAGCCAAACAAGTCTCCAGTTTCCCCCATTAAAAACAAATTATTCAAAAAAATACCCTCAATTCTCTAGCAATTCTTTGTAATGTCAAAAGTAGGGCTTGATGTTCTCTATTTGAATCCACTTTGCTGCTTTCATTGTCTATAGTAGCTCCTCTTTGTAACAACAGATTTTTTCTTCGACCACAATCACCATTTCCATAAAGCAATTGATGGACTCGATGATCAATTTCCAATGAAGCTCTTGAAATAGATTAATAAATTTAAATTCTTTAAATTAAATATTCAAACCTTGAGCCAGTTTCGTTATCCTTAACATTCCGAATTAGTGACTGACTTTGATTTTTTGGCCTAGAGCAGGGCAACAATGAAGGGAGTGTTTCCTAAAATGGAAAAGGTTTTAGATGAATTACGATAACTTAAAGCAAACCCAGCTAAGAATTATCCCAGGCCTTTCCATGCGCAACATCCACGGCAGCCAATAGAGAAGAAGAGTGCGAGCCTTTGTAAATAAAATAAAAAATTTAAAACATGAAAATTACTGTTTTGCCCATTTCATGTGTTTCTGGTGTTCGATAATGCAAATTTAGGACCTGAAAATGAATTCTAATTAAATAAATTTAAATAAGTTTACATAGACAGTAAACACAGTAGATGCAGTAACTATTAACTGAATAGAAAATATTTATAAAAAATTAAATAGATTTAAAAACCATGCATGAAGAAAAGAAAAGGCCAAGCAGAGGAACTGCTTCAGATGTAGGAGGGGACATCTCTGATAGAATTGAGAGGAAAAAGCAGATGGATAGGAGGACAGTGATTTCTGGAAATGTTAAAAAATATTTTAGAGGAATTCAGAAATTTGATTAAGGACGGAAGCACGTCGAAGAAAACCCATTCCTCGTCTTTAAAAATGCCGTGAAGCATTTTAAAAGAGCACAACAGTAAACACCAATAAAAACTAATTTATAAAACTAACGTAGAGTAATTTTTTCTCCAGCTTCTGGTGGAAGAGTAAAACCAAGAAGAGACATCATCGTTGTTAGAAGACACGGCATAATTAAATTAAATCCATAATAAAGAGTACGACGTCTCATATGTAAATAAAATGTTAAATCGGGATAAGGCTCCTTTGGACAACAATCATAAAATTTCTCGCTTCGTGCCACTGTTGTCATAGGTAAGGCCCATTCACCATTGGATAAATATTCACTTGTATCGAATCCACCCTTAAATTAAAAAAAAATTTAACAAAATTTAAAAAAGTTAACCTTTGCAGGTTGTAAATCCAAATAGAATCCTGAATAAGTCCATGAACCAAATTTAAAGAAACATCTTTGTTCGTCAAAAGGAAACCTTTAAAAATAAATATGAAATATTTAAAAAATAATACCATTTAATTTCTATTTTGCAGCTAATCTTGAAGATTCCTGGTGGCACCCAGCTAATATCACCATTGCTATAAACAATCATATTTGTTGGGTAAGTTGAATCAAAATTTGGATCAACAGAATTATACTTAAATTAATAGATTATTAAACTCTCTATAAGAGACTCTATATAAGAACTCTCCACATAAGACTCTCTGTATAGAGGAGACTTAAGAGAATTACAAAAAAAACCCCTACCAAAAGAACATCAGGCTTCCAAATTTTGCCAGCCGGGAAGCGAACATCACTTTAAAAAATTTCTTCTTAGAGCTATAAGTTAAACAAAAAATAAAACCTGATGTTTCCGTATTCATTAGGATCCCATCGCAGTTTATAATCATTCCAAAGATAGTCTAACCAAGCATTAACATGTACAATCTTTAAATTAAAATTTTTTTTATGAAATTCATTGTATTTTTACCTGATTCTTTTCGTCTACATCAATTAATTGTTGCAGAGACACTTTTAAATGTACTGTTACTGGATGAGAATGATTTTCTACTGGGCGTTCCAAAACATTATAGTCGCGCAGGAGATCCTCATACCTATCATAAAAAAATTTTTAAATATTTTTTTGGAAGGGGACTTTGAAAAAATGACCTTAGGGAATAAAAATTCAATCACTACAACAAATAAAATAATTAAAAAAATAAAACTTACAATCTTCTTTCATGCGGACTAGCATGAACGGCCAAATATACAAAACAGAATAAAAAATAAAATAAATTAAATAAAAATAAAGTAAGTTTAATAATGCATTGAAGCATTTTTAAAGAAGTCTACAAAGATTTCCTATCAAATTTTTTTATTCAGAATTTTTATAATCAAAAACAATTTAAAAAATTTTTGTTGAATTTTATAGCCGTGAAAAACAAATTTATTTTACAATTGTTTTTGAAAATTTTTTATTTTTTCATTTCTAACACTTTTTGCTAAAAGATTAGATCCGTGAAGAGAACGTATTGAGAACAACTGCCAAAACCTAACCTTCAAAAACCCAAAAAAATCAAAAACAATTGTTGGGATAATTTTTAAGTGAAACCGAGGACTTGCACTTTTTGACTAAAATTTTTTGTTTTTAATGGGATAACAACAAAAAAATATTAATCCATAAAAAGTATAAATAATTGACATTTTCCTTTAGTCGATTAAATGACAAATTAAGGGCAGTGGGCGTCCATTTCAAACAAAAATAAGTTAGACCAGACCATTTTACAAGGCATATTTTTAATCCCTCTAAATTACTTTTAAAAACAAAAAACAAGAGAGACAAAAAAACTAATCTATCCCCAAAATTGAGTTAAATTTTGGAAAAGGAAAAATAAATTATACTTGGGCATCTGCTTAAATTCTATTCAAGAAAAAAATTAATTATCCTTCCTAGAAAATAGAATCGTTAATAAATTAGATAATACGGACCAGGGATATCACGGGTTACCCGAAACTCGATCCGAAAAATTTTTTCAAAACCAGATAAGAGACCCGAAACTTCAACCGAAAGAAAACTTTGAACCCGTGCATCTTCAATCCGTGACATCCCTAATATTGTTCAGTCCCCCCCCCCCCCCCCCCCAAACTTCCTAAAAAGGACACCCACTTGCTTTTAACAATTTATGGATTACCAGGCAAACTCAAAATTTAATATAAAAAATCAGTGAAAGACAAAGAGATCAAAGTTAAGGGTTAATTTTTAAAAAATACTAGGCAATTGCTAATTAATTTGAAACCAATAAACAACACACAAGTGAATATATTTAAATTCTTTTTGATTAGAATTCACTAAAAAATTTTCTTCTTTTCTTCACACCGGCTTTTTTAAGTTTTTTATTGTCCATTTTTTAAAAAGTTTTAACCTTTAGTGCTTTCATTCCTCTTCCTTTTTCCCTTTTTATTAGCCAAATAAGGCAAATCATATTTCAATTTTTCCAAAATAGAATCATCGTGTTGTAAGTATTCACATTCCTCTAACTAAAAAAATTTTTCTTAAAATTTATAAAAAATTTCAAAAATTCAAACCAATTTCGATTCAATTTGGAATAAATGTTCATCAAATATATTTGGTGCCATACGTCTTTGGCAATCAGCAAGTCTGAGGGCATATTCCAAATTACTGCCGCTGCAACCACGACTTCGAATTATCTTTAAAAAAATTTTTTTAAAAAGGTTCAAAATGGTCAAATCAAAATAAAAACCTGTTTGACTATTACACTGATGTCGCAAGGACCAGAATTGTAAATATTATCTCGACTAATTGGAGAAATATAGACATTCAGCGAGAAAGGCTCAGAACCATTAATTGGGTAGAATTCAACTACTTGCAACTACAAAATTGTAAAATTAAAAATGAAAAAAATATCAAAAATTAAACCTCATAACCAGCTCGTTCTCTCATGTCCAAATATTCAATAGTTTGTTGCACACGCTCTTCAGGAATTTTATAAGCAATTCCCCAGCAAGAACCTTCAGTATCTGGAACCAGGCTAACAACACGACCAGGCTATAAAATTTTAAAAAGTTGAGTTGCTAATAAAAATAAAAATTACACTATCAGGAGTGCCACGATGATCAGGACTCAGTTGCCAGAAACGACGGGAATAGCCCATTACAACACCTGAAGGAAAAATTTTTTATTTTAAAAATCGAATGAAAGCTCATCCCTCACCACAACTTTCTTAATTAAAAACAAACTAAAAAAACTAACCAGGGATTGCCAATTCATAAGAAAAATTTGGATTCCAAAGAAGAGAACCATAGCCGAAGACGAACATAATTTGTTTATTGATCTCGTAGTTAGTAGAAAATAATTTTAAAAAAATGTTGCAGCGGCCGATTAATTATACGGCTTTGTCAATATTTACACAAAACCTGAAACCAAAATTAGGAGAAATTAATCAAAGATCATTGAAAATATAGAAATATACGATAAAATAAATCGGTAAAAAACGCGTTTAAATGTCGAATAAATAAACAAAAGATTGTGTATTTAAAAAAATAAACAATAGAATCAAAGCGATGTTAAAGAAATATGCAGAAATAAAAGTAAGGATCGCGCAAACTGAAAAAAAATACTCGCCGTATTTCCCACTCAATTAAAAAAATAATTTAAAAAATATATTTAATAATCAGAGTAGGAATATACTGCAAATTTATTTTTAATATCAGAAGCAAGAATTGAAGCAATCATTTGAGGTGACGCCATTGCTCCATAACCTTTATCACCACACATAAGTTCTTTTTCGATTGGTGGAATTTCCTATAAAACGAGGATTAATTATAAAAAAATTTTAAGGTAAAAGGATAAGGAGAAATCCAAAAAAATACCCTATAAAGCAAAAGTTCCTTCAACGTCTTCAAATGTTGATAAGTTAACGGATTTTCCCACATTGCAGTATTCCTTAAAATTTTTAAAATTAATGTCATAAAAAATAAAATAAACATTGCTGGTGCAAAATACAAAAGCTTCTTCTGATCCCAAGCACGAATTAAAGAAGTTACTAAATTATCACTAAAGCCATTAGCAATTTTTGCAAGTGTATTAGCATCCAAAGGAGCAATAACTAGTGAATCTGCCCATTTACGAAGCTCTGTAAAAATAATAATAAGGCGGCAATTCAGAAGTCTAAAAATACCAATATGCAAAACAGGATCTCCACGTTTCTTCCACATGTTCCATTCATCTCGATCTTCATATACAGTTACATCACCCATCTCCTTCGGGTCAAAGAAATTGAGAGCACTTTGAGTTGTTACAACCTTTAAGCTCAATTAAAAAAATAAAACTCTAAAAAAACCTTTACAACCAGCTTATTAGGCGGTGATTGACGTTTAAGTTCTTGTATAAGTTCATTTGTTTTGATAGCAGCAACACTTCCCGTAACAGCCAAAATTATATGATATTTACCTCCAAGACGTGTAATTCTATGGCCACTATCAAAAGCTGGACGTCGTTGAAATGGAATAGACAAAAGCGGGACAGAATGTGAAGGCTTAAATAAGAAAAATTAAAATACCAACCCTACTTGAACACAAGAATAACCCCGATCTAAAAAAATAGACCCCACTCTCCCCCAAAAATAATCTCAAAAAATAAAATAAAAAATAAACCCTAGCTCCACCATTTGCTTCACTCGCAACAATTTCTAAATTAATCTCTGCTCTCAAAGGTTGTTCATTTAAAGCAGTGTCATCTTTATCCTCATTATCGCTTTCCATCTCCACTTTTCCACGTTTTTCAGGAGGAGAATTGTTTGTTTCTGATGGTGAGGTATCCATCTTTAGCCTTTAAAAAATGCTAAAAATAAATTAGAAAAGTAAACATTAAAGAGCGAAATAAAATTATTTTAAGAGACTAAAGTAAATATTTTAGAAAAATGCTAAAATTAGCTATTTTTAATGAATTAAGCAGCAAAAATTAAATAAAAAAAAATTTATTAAAAAAAAAGAATTTCAAGAAAATTATGAGAAAACAAAAATTAAAGTCAAAAAGAAATAGCATACAAAAAACGACAAAATGCTAATAGGCTTGGGATAAATAAAATGGTAAGGAAAAAATACAAGCTATCGCGCAACTCGAACAATGGAAAGAAAAACATTTTTAAAAATTAAAAAATATTTTCAAAAACACAGAATAATTTTTATTTTGTATTTACCAGCTGCTTTTATTTCCCCTCTCTCTAACAAAATAAATAAAATTTGCCAGACTGACACAGCTGTGTGAGTTTTTTTTTAAAAAGCAATGATGCAATAAACATGTGAAAAAAATCACACATAGTTAATAAGGGTTAAGATTAAATAAATCAAATGATAAAATAAATATTTTATACATTGGACCTTATACTCAAGTGATTTTTAAATTTTTTAATTTTGGCTGAAAGAGGATTACTTTAGGGGGATTTAATTTGATAATTTTTCCCTTCACCCAATAAAAATCAAAAAATTTTAAAATAATAATGAAAATATTTCCTTGTATTTCTTCTTATATTTGCCCAATTCTCTTAAAAAGTCTCCCAATAATTACTAATTCCAACTACTTTTTTGTACACCTCCCCCTCTATTTCCACGTTTTTTATTCCTTTAAATAGGTTTATTCATTTAATATGCTTTTTTTCGTGATGTAATTATTTTCTTTCCTTACACGCCTTTTAATGATGCAATAAAAATGTTCTTTTACGTGTTTATTTTTTGATGGAAATGTGGTGGAACAAGGAAGCGTTAAGGAAAGAAAATAAAATATAAAAATAAAATTGTTTGGTAAACATTAGAGTTCGACATTTTCAAATTGCAGGCCAGGTACTCGGGTTTTTCCTCTCGAACTGACCCGGGCCAAAACCCAGAAAAGCAGTCTTATCAAAATACCTGGCCGTCGGGACGGGAAAGCCCAGTCCCGACTCAATGTCGAATCCTAGTAAAAAATGACAGTTTTGGGGAAGGCTAGGAAGGGGCCATTTAAATTAAAAAATAAAATTAAAACTTTACTAGAGGTTATATGTTCAATTTTTTATATTTAATTTCTTTATTGTCCTGTTCTAAATACAAAACAAATACCATCGGCAACATCCCCTGCACAAAACTTTTCTGATCTCACAATATATTCCAGCATTCTTGGGGCACAAACAACGTGGAAGAGAATGTTAGGTCGTTGGTGTCCACTAGTAGATGTTAACAATCGTTTTTCAACTCTTTCCAAAATTGCCTGAATAAAAAATTGAAAAATTTCAAAAGTTGGTACTTGTGGTTTCCAACACATTCACCCCCCCCTTTTTTTCAATATTTTCACGTACTGATTCAGATGAGTAACCTTGAAATATAAGGAAAAGTGAGAAGGGGAGCGAGGATTATGGGATGGAAACTACACAAACACAAAATTAAATAACCTCTTTTGCTAAATTCATTTTCAGCGTAAGAACCTAGAAAAAATAAAAGAAAATACCCATAAAAACAAAATTAAATTCAACCTCTCCCAAAATCCCGGCCAGTTCTTTATCGTTACATTTTCCCTCATCTCTCTTCTTTGTGTGAAATGCCAACTCATCAACAGAAGAAGATATTCCACTATGTAAATAATGTTTTGTGATTGTCTTTACACCATATGATTTAAGTAAAGCAGTTGTTTTAGTGTACGGACAGCGAAGACAACAATTTTGAATGGGCGCTGGTTGTGGAGGCGGAGGAAGCGGTTGAGGAGAAGGAAGAGGGCAGGGTGGACATTGAAGTTGCTGAAACGAATAAAAAAATTTTTTTAATGTATTTCTATAAATCTCCCTTTAAAATAAAACATTCGGTAAATCCCCGTTAAATATTTTCAAAAATAATCCTCTTACCGTCCAAATTAAAAAATGAAAGTATTATACATACCTGTGGATATGGCTGCCATTGTTGTGAAATTGGTTGAGGTGAAGGCTGGTAGATGGTTGCTGGAAGCATTTGCTGTAATGGTGGCGGTCGTTGTTGATAAACTGGAATTGGTGTTGGATAAATTATTGGAGACATTGGTTTTGGAAGTGGAACATCGATAGGCGTAGTTGGTCGAGCATAACCAGGAACAATATAGTTGTCATCCCGTTGAAATTGCGGATTAATACGCTGTTTTCCTGTTGTTTTCGTTCGTTCATCCCCACCACTTTTGTTTTCAGCCTCATTATCTTCTAGTTTCTCAAATGGGTCTTTAACCTTTTCATGTGTAGTTTGTTCTTCCTTTTCTTCTGGATTGTGAACAAATCTTTCTTTGGCCGGTATAGGATTTTGATAAGGATTTGCTGAAATTTTTTAATGATTATAAGAATTAAAAAAATAATTTTACAATTATAATAGGGGGAAACTGATTGCCTCCCATAACCGTATCCATAGCTAAGACCCGGTTGCGTTGCGTAAGGTGATGGCTGGGGAAGTTGATATGTATTTGATTGAGGTACTGGCTGAGGTGCTATTGGTATAGGAATTGGTCTAGTTGAATAGGATGGAGGCACAATTTGTTGTTGATTTGGAGCATAAGGGACTTGAGGTGAAGGAAGATAGGTTTGATATTGGTTTTGTGCTGGTTGTGGCAGAAAAGGTTGATATGTAGTTGGTGGTGGTGGACAATTTGGTGTTGGCAATCTTGGTGGGGGAAGAGGACAAGGAGATGGAGGAGTAGGAGGGGGACAAGGTGATGGGCATGGTAGTTGTGGAAGTGGTGGAGGTGCAGGAGGAAGAGAAGGAAGAGGAGGAGGACAAGGTGTTGGGCATGGAAGTTGTGGGAGTGGTGGCGGAGGTGCAGGCGGATGAGGAGGAGGGCAAGGCATCGAGCATGGAAGTTGTGGAAGCGGTGGTGGTGGAGGTGCAGGAGGAAGAGGAGGAGGTATCAATGGCGGTGGGCAAGGTGGTGCTGGCAAACAAGTTGAAGGTAATGGACCGCATAATGTAGCTGAGGCTATAATAATGCTGTTGTGTTCAATAAATAATGGAAATAGCCAAGGAGGAGGCATAAGCATAATAAGGAATAAATGCCGTAAATTTAGATTCATTTTTATTTTTAGGATGTGTTAAAATTAAGTGGAAGTCTCCAAAATAAATTTTTGTGTATGTAAATGGGCGGACAGATTTAAATGTAAATGAAAAATGAATAGCTATTTATTTTAGGATAGCATGGAATTTGAAGGTTCGTTTCGGATTTGATGGCAGAGGATTTTTTAAAGGATGGCCTTGGCAGCGAGAAGAAAACAAGGAAGAGGAGAAACGTCCTCTACCATGGATGAAAATCACTGATGGATGGAGGATGCGCACCGTCGCTCCGCGCAACAAGGGGGATAGTTAAAGCAAAGATGTGGTATCGGTTAGATTAAGAGCACATTTTTAACTTGAAATATATTTAGACGGCCCATTCCCCCTTCACTCTATTTGTCAGCTATTTATTTGGGATGATCCCACGGCTATTTACTTTATTGTTACAAAATGAAAAAGTAATACCTTTTAAAAGTTTTTCCCTTCTTCATCGTTTGTTATCCTTTAATTGCGCCATTAGCTTTCAAATAATATAAAATCTGCATCATTGCATTGCGGCGACATTTTCAAACAATTTTACAAAAAAGGCTCCATTGTTCGCCGTCATTATTATTGTAAACATTGTAAGATATTCCTGTCATCTTAAAATTTAAAAATTTATCCAAACCCTCTCTAATAGGAAAATAAACCTTTCGATTCTTTTACAAATTTACAAAAATTTAAATCCAATTTTTAAATAACAAATTTATTTTTAATTATTACTCCAAGAATTTTTAAATGAAGGAATCAACAATTTTATTTAAATTAAATATATTTAGAGAACACAAAAATATATGTAATTGATGATTTAAATTATAAGGATTACAAGATGTTTAATCCAAAAAATTCTAAAGAATCATTTTTTAAATCAACTCTTCCCTTCAACACCCATTTTTTATCAAAAAAATTTTTTTTACATCTCGAAATCCATTTTTAAGTATAAAAAAAGAAAAATAGAGAGACTTGAGGAAATCCAATAACACGAAAAGAAAAAATAATTATAGAAGGAGAAATAAAACAAAAAAAATTTTAATGAAGACACAATTCATTTTAAGCAAAACAAAATAATTTAAAACCAAACAATAATAGTCAAAAAATGTGCGGTATTTTTTTGGTTGGGAGAGAGAGAACAAATGAATTAAAAAATTATTTTTAAGAAAAAAACTAATTTTAAATGATAGAGAAAATAAACCCCGAAAAATAGGCAAAGGTGGCAGCAAATCCCCCCAATTATATTTTTTATAATTTTATTACGAGCAAAAGTGAACCTTTTATTTTATATCCTTCTTCTTCCATTTAAAGCTCATCATGCTCCTCTTCCACCTTCTTTTCCTCCTCCTCATCCTTCTCTTCTTCCTCATCACCATCCTTATCTTCATCCTTCTTTTTAGATTCCTCTTCCTCTTTACGTTTCTTTTCTTCCTCTCTAAAAATTGAAAAAAAAATTTTCAGATGAAAGGTAATCATAAAACATACTCAAACTTCTTGCGTTCTTCCTCATCTGCAGCCTCCTTTTGTTTCTTTTCAGCATCGCGCAATGGCTCAAATGTTTCCTTTGCATGAGCCTTTGCTTCATCAATGCTGTCCGTCACAATGATATTGTCAAAGATTGTGCCAGATTTAACCTAAAGTTCAATTTATTTATCCATCTTTTAAAAATTAAACAAAACCTGCCAGATATCAATACCAACAGAGCCCCAATCTTCACGCATATAGAGTTCATCATCAACTTTGTAATCAGGGTTGTCAATTTCCTAAAATTAATTCGATATGTAAAAATTAAAAAGAATAAATTGAATACCGGATGAATCCATTTGCCTTTGTAGTTTGGATTCTTAATCTGCTTGGGTTTCCATTCTCCTTTGTAATTTGGATTATCAATTTTTGGTGCCTCCCATTCTCCGTCCATATCTTTAAATTGGGAAAATATTAAAGAAATCAAAATCTTAATTACCGTCATCCCAGTCCTCTGGCTTTTTCGCATCTGGATCAGGAATGGTCTGTTAATGAAAAATTAGAAATATTTAATAAAGGAATCAAGGACTCACCTCAGGCTTATCCCAATCTTCGGGCTTTTTATCTTCAGGATCATCAATGTACTCACTTGAAAGAAAACAATTCATATAAAATGAAACAAAGTTTAAAAACTCACGTCTCATCCCAATCCTCAGGCTTCTTAGCATCAGGATCCTTAATTTTCTTTTCCGGCAACAACTCCCAATCAGCCTCAAGTTCTCCACTTTCTGCCTTCTCTCCATCAATTTGAACTTCATAGGTGTTGTCTGGATTGAGAATCAGCGTGTACAAATGAGTAAGCACATCATCCTAAATGAAGCAAATTTATTTCTTCAAAAAATCAAATAAAAAATTACCTTGCATCGAATATCCTTTTTAATGAGCTGGTTCTTGTCCTTGTAGTTAATGATGACATGAACTTTCTTCGTTCCAGGTCCGCAAATATCAGGGCCAAACATAAGGTGGTAAGGTGTTTCGCCATGGAAATCATCTTGATTAATTGTTGAGGCCATGAGCTAAATTGATTCATTTTAAATGACTAAATAAAAATCTCATACTTTAAGATAACCGCCACCACAATCAATGTCCTGTTCATGTTTGATGCTGAACTGAATTACCAAAGTCTTTCCTTTGTTGCTAAACTTCTTTGGGAATTTGGCAGAAATGCTATAGAAGCGAGCATCCTACAAATTACCATGTAAAAAGAACAAAGTTTAAAGCATACTTGAGAAGTTTTAAGGCCCTGATCGCGTTCCTTGTCACCAAAAAATTTTCCAGAAGAAAGCTCAAATTTCCCGTAGTCGCTTTTGTGCTTAGATTGCACCCATCGATCGGTCCAAGACTCATCTGAATTTACAAAATTATTTTGAATAACTAAAGTCGAGACTGGCCCTAGAAAAAAATTAGCCGGAAGTCAGACATTCGATTAATTTATGGAAAACCTAAGTGTCGAAAGAGACGCCTTGCTAATTTTTTCATAGAGACCAGTAAACCCGACCCTCACCGAATAAAAAAAACAAAGAAAACCTGAAAATTCCTCCTTGAAGAAAACTTCCCCAAAAACTCCAAAAATTGGCCAACAAGCTATCAGCAAGGATACAAAACAAAACCTGCTCACCATTTTGATTGTTGAATACAAACAACGATTTTTTAAAATTTAAAGGTTTTTAAATCTAAAAAATTAAAAATAAATTAATTATTATATTAGCGGCTTTAAAAGATATAATGTAATTTTTTAAGCACTGTCAGTGGTGTGTAAAGCAATAACTGGAGCCACGTATAGTAACAACCAATCGGGCAAGGACACACCACACCACCACCATCACAGACTTTATTCTCGCTAACTAGTGAACAAAAATAGATAAAAAGTCTGCAAACATTAAAGAATTAGAGTACAAACCGCGGAGTGAAAATTAGAGACAAACAAAAACGAAATAATGAAAAGAAATCTGAGAGCGGAAAAAGAAAAGGGAGGAAAATTTTGTAAAAAAATAAAAAGAGGGGCCACACTTTTCCTAAATATTTTTGACGGTCTCGATTTTATCGATCACACAACCTTTTTTTATCTGATTTAGTACATTAGCCGCCGACCTTCACCCAAATTTGTAAAAAAATAAAAATGCAAAGCTGACAAAATATTGAGAAAAGGCCTTTCTAGAATTTTCCCTTTGTAAGCAGCCTTTTAAATAGACAAAGCTGTTTTTTAAAAACAAAGGTGTTTTTATAGGATTTTTGCTGCTTTAATTATAGGTCCGGAAAATAGTAATAATTCGGCTCCCTCATCTGCCAAACACATATTTTGCCAATAAGGCCAAAAACCACGTTTTGCCAATAAGACAGTGTTGGCAGAATGAGATTTTTTAGCCTTATTGGCAGAATATGGTTTTGGCAGATTATGGATCGCGTAGTAATTCGGGCAAACAGCCTAAAAATTATACGGGAAATTTTAGTTCCCCCTTGCCGGGTTTAGTTTTAGCCCGATGCCAGCTTGTTTTTAGGAGTAAAAATCAGTAAATTATGCAAAACAGCATCAATGAAAATCAGAAAAATCGATTATAAAAGTTAAGAAAATATAGAAAATTAAAGATAAATAAAAAAGTACATTGGGGCAGTGCCACCAATAATTAAAAATTAATTTGAAAAAATCTTTTTAAATTTATAGCTGGAATGGAAAAAAGATTAATTTTGAGATTATTTGGAAACGTATAAAAAAGCAGATATATGTAAAATCGAAAAAAATTAAATTATTAATTAAAAAAATATTAAATTATGAATTAAGGCACAACCAAGTTTTAAGAAAATTTGCCAACCAGCGCCAATTAAATTTTTTTTCATTTTGAAATTTGGAATTGTGTCAAAGCTTGTAATGGAGGTTGACGTCTCTCCTTATAATATTAATTAAAAAATTTTTTTAAGATATCCTAACCGAAGCGCGTCGAACAATCCCATGCGTATTAGTAATCTTTGCTGGAGCGTTGATTAAAGGTTGTTTTTGTGGAGCAGCCATTCGCCATTCAACAACATTCGGTTTTGTATTTTCCTTTCGACGATACTTTAAAAAATTGATGGAAAATTATTGTAAAATTTAAAAAAGAAAAAAATACTTTTGTATTGGCAATATAAGCTGATTTAACTGTTAATATAACAGCATTTAACAAATTTTTGGCATTTTGAATGAGTGAAAATGCTGCTTCAAGTCCACTCACACGTAGCTCATCTCCAACAACTTGAACATCTGCTTTTACCTTTTAAAGTACAAATTAGGGATGGAACGGGTTGAGAAAAATGTCGGGTTTAGGGGTTTCGAAAATTTTATGTTGGGGTTCGGATCGAAAAAAGTAAGAGTTTCGGTATTAAATTCCGGAAAAGTTTTTACAATTTGTAAAATATTTTGTTAAATCCGGAAAAGTTTTTACAATTTGTAAAATATTTTGTTCAATTCCGGAAAAGTTTTTACAATTTGTAAAATATTTTGTTAAATCCGGAAAAGTTTTTACAATTTGTAAAATATTTTGTTAAATTCCGGAAAAGTTTTATTAAATTCCGGAAACGTTTTTACAATTTGTAAAATATTTTGTTAAATTCCGGAAAAGTTTTTACAATTTGTAAAATATTTTGTTAAATTCCGGAAAAGTTTTTACAATTTGTAAAATATTTTGTTAAATTCCGGAAATGTATTTATGTACAATTTGTAAATAGAAAGTGGAGCTATAAAAATAACACAAGAGTACCAAAAAATAAAAAGAAACCTTGCTTGTAACATTTAATTGATGACAAAATAAAGTTATTCTTTCCAAATAAGCAAATAAATCCTTCTTTGTATTACTCTCTACTGATTCGCTTCCAATTTGACGAGCAAACCCATTCAATTTTGCACCATATTCAGAAATTTCCTGCGCGGCTTTAATTACGTCCATTGTTGTTTTATAAGGACCTCGACCTCTACAAGAGAAGAAAAAATAATAAATAGGTCTTTTAAATAAATACTTTGTAAAATCAGTCATATTCATCATTATTTGACACATCTTTTTAGCCAACGCAATTATATCATTTCCTGTTTCATCCCATTTACCTACTTCATATTCAAACTTTCTTTGAGTTATCTAAAAAATTTTAAATAAATCTTAAACCAAAGAAAAAAAATTTTTGACCTTAAAAACATCAATTTGTTTTTGAATTTCACGCTTTGATTCTTCCGGAAGTTGTCGCATTATTTGTTGCTGATTTTGCATTTCTGAAGCCGAAGATTGACTACAAGCTTCATCAGATGGCAAACCATCTAAATAACAAAAAAAATAAAAATTTTAAAATTTTTAAAGTTAAAACCTTCTTCATATTCATTATCAGAATCTACATCTTCTGGATTTCTGTTCATCAATAAAGCATGACGAATATCAGTTACAGCATCATAAACAAGTTGACATGCATCAATCATCTCATCAACTTCTCGCTTTGTTTCTGTCTCCAGTTGGCTTTCGTCATCGCCATCTTTCAATGTTTTTTCAACTTCAGTTAAAGCGGAGACAATTTGTTCGGCGCGTTTTTTAAAGTGTGGAAGAACATCTGAAAATTTTTTTTATTAACTCTAGTCCATCAGAGAAATTATAATTTTTAAAAAACTAACTATCCCGAAGACATAAAGTTGCACGCTTGACATTTTCACTATAAGAATCAGTAGGAACTTGACCAATTTCATTTAACACCATATCGCAAACTCGAACTGAACGTCCTCGAATATAACCAGCATTTCGATCCAACATTTCACTGTTGTGTTCAACAATAGCCTAAAAAGAAAATTTATAAAAAACAAAAAAATAAACCTGAATTCCTTGTTGACAATCTTCGCTAATATGAGCCTCACTAACAGCTAAAAAGTCATCAAAAGATATGAGAGAATCAACTGCCATTGTAAGCATTTTAACACGATCAAACCAAACACGCTCGAATGTGGACATATTTTCCTTAAATATGTAAAAAGAAATATTTTTTTCAAAAATTTTCGATACCTTAAGCACTTCGCTGTACGGATCTTCGCATAGTAAAAAAGCCGCATTGACAACCTTCAATAAAATTTTAAAATTATCTTGAATCCATTAAAAATAAAAACCTGCGGTGCAATTTTCTCACAAAGAAGAGTCGCATATCGAAGAACTCTAACACCATCAACGTCATTGGAAACATTGGCGACAAGACGTGCAACCTTTAAATTAGCATTAAAAGATTCTAAAATATTTCCCAAGTTTTACCGCAACGAGATTGTTAGCATGTGTTTGAAAAAGAGTAGCTGCTCGTTCAGTGCTTGGAAAATCGCCATTTGACGCATTTTCAATCAATTGCAACAAAGGTGTCCGAACATCCACAAAAACGTCACTAACATGGTCAACAATTGTTCGACGCAAGTGCCGACGTAAATCACGTATTTTGTGGGCTAAAAATACTTTGCACAAGTCGAGGTCCTCAGAGGGTTCCATTGATCCCACCTTGTTAAAATGAAAATTTTATCCAAAAAATTTTAAAGCTTACATTCCGTTCATATTCCTTCAAAAGATCTTGCAAAGCTTGCCGTAAATTGTTCACACCAGAAATAATTTGATCATGACGCATAGGTTTTGTAGTTTTCATATCCGCGATTAACCCCGAACTACTCGCAATACGTTCAAGCAATTCTTCCAATTGAGGACGGTGCCGATGGGATTGATATTCAGAGGGATCCATATAAACACGTCGCTGTTAATTTTATTAATTTTAGAAAATTTTTAATTGAAGTTTACCTGGAATTTTTCAAAGTTCAAAGCAAGCTCGTTAAGTTTTCCATGTTGAGAAAAAGCTGACTCATCATGCGGCCGGTCACCTTGAACAGCATCACAAAAGCAGTCTAATGCCCGATTAAGTTCATCTTCCGCATAGTTTTGATTAAGTTTGAGACCGTCCAGGCCTGGATGTTGAAGAAATGCCTTAAAAAATTTGCAATTTAGAAAGGTACAAAGCTAAAAAAAAGAAATAACCTTAGAAGATGCAATCATTATAGGTGTAGTTATTTTTAACATCGCAATAGCAGCTTGCAAATCATCCTGAGCAGCTGAATCTCGCAAATCACGGACACGTCTTCTTGTCATCTCCATTAGTTCGTGCAATTCCATATCCAAATTTTGGGAAGTTTTTAGCAACTCAGATTTTGATTGGGCATTCTTCAAGGCATTAAAATTTTGTCTGACTTTATCCGCCTGCTTTAACAAAATATCTACATCGATCTATAAATTTTAAAGTTTATTTGATAAAATAAAACAAACAACCATATCCGTGATAATAAGTAAACGTGCAACAGCCAGCAAAGTAGCACGACTCGCCTCAACTGTTTGTGAGCGCAGATCTGGGTTCTCTGCATCAGCAATGAATGGTTCGCCAATTATAAGAAGATTATCGCCTGTTTTGGATAAAAATTCTAATTTCTAAAAAAATAAATAAACCAGCAAGTGCAACATCATTTAATGCGTCATTCAGCTGATCAAATATTTTTTCTGCACCTGGAAATTGAGTTTTTATTTGCACTGTCTGCTGTCCAGTCATGATGAAACTATCAAGGCGTTCTTTAAGTCGCTTCATAACTTCTTTTCCATCACGGGTTGCTCCACTAAGTGGTTGCATATTGGCATGTAGAGATGTTATCTGAATAATTTATCTGATTGAATTAAATAGAATTACCAAGTGAATTAGTGGAGAAATTAGCCGTTCAACTGTTTTTGTTTTTACATCGTCGATATTAAAGTTTAGAGAATATGCTGTTTCTGCCATAGCTACAAAGATAGTAGAAGCAAAAATCAACTAAAAATGAAATTTCAGTGATTAAGAAAAAGCTAAGAAATTGTAAAGTCAGCTAATTAAAAAAAACTTCAGCGTTACAACATAAAACCTTCAAAACGATTTAACATAATCGTCCTCTTAAGAATTATAAACCCGTTGCATAACGGTAAGAAAAGCCCTCAAAAAAATTTAACACAAAATTTTTTAAAATGTTTATGCTTGTGAATATGGGAAAAAATGACCGAATGACCAAGACTAGTTACTAAAAATAGCAGATTATTTTAAGGGGCAGTGAGTTATGTGACTGACTAAAAATTGTAGTGGGATTTGGATAACATCTCATGTTTTTCTATATTAACATTAGAATTAGGATTTGAAAAGAATGAACAGCAGCAACAGAAAAAGAGGGAGAATTCAATGAATGGGTTTACAATTAGATTAATTATGAAATGAATTAAAGAAAAAATGGGGAGAATAAACAATTATTATAATAAATTTCTTCGGATTTTTAATCTTATTTTAATATATTATTTAATAATCGGCAAAGCTATTTCGTGCAAATGAAGTAGAACGAAGAACAGCAGCACTCGCTGATGTGGCCAAACCAACTAGAATTTTTAAAATAAATTTTTCAAAAGATTTTCTTATGTTTACCAGATGCTGGAGCAATTGATGCGGAGGAACGGTTTTTTGCACGAAGCTTGCTCAACGAGTTTTCTGCCAAATCTGCTCTCTCTTCTGCTTCATCCATTTGTGCTTGTAATTGGCGGTATTTGCCAAGATTTGTTGCAGCTACTTCCTCCTATTATAAGAAAAGAGATTTCAATACAATTTTGAATTAACATTCAGAATAACTTACCGCTTCTTCTACTTGTCGTTTGTAAACTTTGAGTTTTCCTTGGAGTTTGTCAATAAGGTCGGTCAATCGTTCACTATTTTTCTTGTCTTCCTCAACTTGGAAGTCGAGTTCCTTTACACGACGTTCTGCTTTCCTATAGTTCTTGTCGGTTTCTTGGTGACGTCGCTGAAGAGAAAAATTATTTATTGAAAAATTGGACAATTTTCCTTACTTGTTCTCCATCTAATTCTTGTTCAAGTGCACGGATGCGTTCTTCCAATTTGGCAATTATCTTCTTACCGCCTTTAAGTGCGGCTGCTTCTGCTTCATCAAGACGAACTTGCATCTCCTTGATTTGGAGTTCAAGTCCCTTACGCAATCGGTCAACATGTTGTGAGTGTTCTTGTTCCTGTCGCAATTCCTCAGCAAGTCTGGCAGCATCAGCAGATCTAAACAATAGTTTTTTTGTATTTTCAAAAAGTCTAAAACATACGCTTTCTTGGAAAGTTCATCAGCGTTTTTAAGTTCGGTAAGTGTCTCATCCAATTCCGCCTTAATTTATATGATAGTAAAAGAACGTTTAAAAACAAAATTTACATGTAATGCTTGAAGTTCACCCTCCAATTTGCGTTTGTAGCCATTCAAACTGTTAACTTGGTTGGAAAGGTCGTTAACGGCTTCACGAAGTTCAATCTGATATAGGCAAATTTATAACAAACAGTAAAGAATATATATACCAAATCGGCCTCAGCTTGGCGACGAGCGCGCTCAGCCTGTTCTGCTTGGTGCATGAGCTCATCCTTCTCACTTTGGAGAATTTGGTTACGCTTCTCGCTATTGAAAAGCTGTTCACGCCTTAAATTATAAAATAAAACTAAAATTTTAAAAACAAAATTACAATTCATCTCTCTGGCGCTGCTCATCTTCAACTTGGAGTTGTAATTCACGAATTTGGTCTTGATGCTTCTTGATGGTTTTCTGTGCGTCAGCATAAGCCTTATTTGCGTGGTCGAGAGCAATTTCCAACTCGTTGATATCAGATTCGAGCTTCTTCTTTATACGCAAAGCTTCTTGTTTACCACGGCTCTCAGCTTCAAGTGTAGCTTGCATGCTTTCAAGTGCACGTTGATGATTCTTGCGAGTATTTTCGAATTCTTCCTCTTTCTCCTGGATGCGCTTCTCGATTTCAGAACGAATTTGTGACACCTCAACTTGAGCTCGCAACACTTTGCTTTCTTCTGCCTCTAATGCAGCTTCTGCTTCGTCCAATGCGTGTTGAATCTCCTCCTTCTCAACCTCTAGGCGGCGAACAATCTAAAACGAGAAGCAATTGAAATAAACGAATATTTTTAAATTTATACCTTCTGCAATTCATGCACGGAACGACCACCTTCGCCTAATTGGTCAGTCAAATCCTTGATTTCCTGGGCGAGTGCTTTGTTTTCACGCCTGGTCCCTTCCAATGTTTCAGCCAATTCATCTTGAATCGTCTTTGCCTTGAACAAATCTGTTGCAAGATTGCGTGCATCCCGCTGGCTGGCATCGAGTTCTGCGGCCATATCGTCACACTTTCTGCGCCAATCATCAATAATCTTGTCAAATCCTTTCTGCTTCTTCTCCAAAGCAGCAGCATAAGCAGCAGCGCGTTCCACATCTACTTGGGCATCATCGAGATCTCCCATGAGTTTGTGGCGAGTCTTCTCCAGAGATTGAATCTGGAAAATATGATTTCATACAGAAATATAAGATAAAACGCATGCCTTCGTGTTAGCCGCTTCATTAGCGTCAGTAAGTTCCTGGAGTCTCTTTTGTAATGTGCGTTTCGCCTCCTACAAAATTTTGTTTATAAAAAATATAAAAAATGATTTCTCTTACTTCAATCTCTTCCAATTTAACCAAGCCTTCGCCCTCAAAGCGAGCCTTCCATTGTTGGATTTCAGCATTCAACTTGCTGATTTGACGAAGGCATTCTGCCTTTCCTTCCTGTTCATCATCAAGTTGCTCACGCAACGAATCATTTTCGTGCTGGACATTCTTAAGTTGTCCACTTAGTGTCTGACGTTCACGACTTTCCTCATCAGCAGTTCGTTTAGCTTCTTCAAGCTGGCTCACAAGTTGACTCTTTAGGCGGTGCAGGGAGTTCACTTGATTTTCCAAATCTTCAACTTGGTGTTCCAAGTCTGAGTTTTCATTTTGGAGCCGGCTCTTCAATGCTGCTAAATCATTAAGAAGACGAGACTGTTCGTCTGCTTTGGTTTGGAGTTCATTAAGCTGAAGTTCCAAATTCTTAATCACTTTCTCAGCTTCTTGACGTGCTCTAAGTTCTGAATCTGCAGTTTGTGTGGCATCCTCGAGCTCGCGTTGTATTTGTTGTTTGTCCTTTTCGACCTTGACTTTGATTTTCTGCATTTGTTCAAGTTGGTCAGTGAGTTCAGCAACCGCATCGTTGTGTTTCTTTCGGAGAGCATTTAATTGTGTCTCGTGGTTGAGATTATTTTCTTCAAGATCACGGCGAAGTTTTGCTAATTCAGCTTCACGCTTCTTATTGACTTCAATCTGTGCAGCAGTAGCTCCACCAGCATCATCAAGGCGCTCACTGAGTTCTTCCAATTCGCGCTGCAACTCAGAACGGGAACGGTCAGCTTTTTGGCGAGACTGACGTTCAGCCTCGAGCTCCTCCTCGAGTTCAGAGATACGTGCTTGTAACTCTTTAATCTGGCGCTGAAGTTTGCCTACAAGCGACTGTTCATCCTCAAGACGTGCAGACACTTGGTGAAGTTCAGTTTCTTTGCGTTTGAGATTTTCTTCCAAATCATGTTTCTGCTTATTCAACTCCTCAATATTCTCTTGAGCTACTTTAAGTTCACCTTCAGTCTTGCGCTTTGACTTCTCTAATTCTTGTTTTGCGCGCTTCTCACGCTCGACTGAATCTTCCAAATCATCAAGTTGCTGCTCGAGCTTCTGTTTAAGTTTATTCACATGGTTGACTTTCTCCTCTTCAGCTTGGAGGTCTTCCATGAGTTTTCGGTTCATTTCCTCTTGGTGCTTCTTTTCTTTATTTAATTTGGCAATATTCTCATCTTGTTGGGCCATCTCATCTTGCAAGGAGCGTAAGTTGTGTTCACGGGACTAAAAATATTAACCGTTTTTATTATGTATATGGTCATATACCTGCTTCTCACTCTCAGCTTTACGAAGACTCAATTCCAAGTCCTATGAAACGAGGAATTAGAATGCATTTTTAAACTTTTAATTCTTTACCTGAACATTCTTCTTTAATCCTTCAATCTCTTGCTCTCCCTTCTTACGTACACGTTGAAGATCAGCATTACGATCTTCGAGTTCTCCAAGCCGGTCTTGAAGATCACCCAGCTGGCGATCCAAGTCGTTTTTCAATGACTGGAGTTTGTTAGCCTTTTCTTCTGATTCTTGGAGAGCAGCCTTCTCCTTCTCCAAGTTCAAGAAAATCTAAAAATCGTTTTTAAATTTAATAGTATCTTTATTAACGTTAAACTCACGGCATTCTTCTCCTCGACCAATTTGGCAACTTGGGTCTCCAATTCCTTGCGGTTGCCTTCTTCCTTTGCAAGGCTTTCTTCCAACTCCTTGATTTTGACTTGCAGACTGTCCAATTCTTCTTGCTCTTTGCCCATCTTGAGAAGTGGGCGCACCTTTCCGTACAATTTGAACCAATCCCAGTTGCGAAGTGTGCACCTGTAGTTTTTGAAAGTTATAATTTCGCGTGTTTTAATTATTCAAAAACTAACCAAGATCGAATGTTGCGCTGTAAGATAAGTAAACCAGCGCGTTGTTGGATGCGTCTCTTAACGTCCTTCTGGGCCAAGTACCAACGAATTCGTGTCTGGAACGCTGTTAGAATAATTCCTAATTTCTCGTCACGCAAGTCCTCGAGACGGGCAAGTACACCAGCTTTGAAGAAAACTTTAGTATTTCCCAGCTTGAAATCTTCGTCCTAGTAAAATAAATAAATGTATCAAAGTTTATTTTAATATAAAATTGAATAACTCTTGTCTTAAACTCTTCCGTTTTTTGTAAAAAATGGAATGTTATTTGCTTTAAAGTTATTTAAAATAGAATGTGTAAAAGCAAATTGTTTGTCCCCTCCATAAATATCTTTAGTCTTTCTCATAAAAAAATCTTGAATTCATTTTTCTCATTCTTTATGTTCTTTGGTTCATCCATATATTTTTATAAGCATTTGCTGTATCGGTTTAAATTTATTTTTAACTCATTTTTTGCACACATAAAGAATGTAAAAAACTACAGTTCTATCAACATATGACGTCATAATTCAAAAAATACCTTCAAACTGTCTTCGCGGCAAAGGCGATCAGTAATTCCTTTACTAGCTGCTTTCTCATCTGGCACTTTAGATTCATCTGCAGCCAGGATCGCATAACGATGTTTGAAGTCAGGATATAACATTCGGTTGGGGAATCCTTTTCGGCAAATACGAATACCCTCAAGTACACCGTTGCCTTAACGAATTGTTTACATTGAATTTTTAAAAGGATTTAAACTTACAAGTCAATTGGTTCAATACAAGAGCCGAATCAATGACACCAGAAGCTTTCTTCTCGTTGGGAATGATGCAACGAATAAAGTGTGGATGTGTCTGGTAAAGCATACTCATCAAGTTGTTCAAGGATTCACGGTAAATCATTGATACAGTCAAGAATGATGAGGATTTTCCCTTCTTTTTGCCACTAGACTGTCCAGATTTGGCCAATTCTGCTGCTTCTTCTTGTGTGACATAGTCCTCGAAAATGTCAAGCAACAATTGGTTGTTTTGTGCTGACTTTAGAATGCTGACAGCAGAGTCGTTAAGAGGGTCTTTGTTCTTTTCCAAGAAGTTGTTGGCATTATAACGTACCTAATGGAGGGGAATCGAAAAATTTTAAACTTCTTAATCAAGACAGACCGTTCCGGCATAGTGGATAATGGCGAAGTGAGCTTCCGCCTGCTTGCCTTTAGGAGGCTTCGGTTTTTGCATGTTTGGATGCTTGCCCAAATGTTGATCTTGTAACTTTTGAACGAATGTCATGTCAGAAGCCTTGGGTACAATACATTCTTCATCAAGCATAGAGATGACACCCAATGGCTGTTAATATTCAAAAATATTTTTTATTTGTCAAGAAAAACTAACCTTTTCAATAAGATCAATACAGGCTTGAAGGTCGAGACCGAAGTCAATAAAAGTCCATGCAATACCCTCACGTTTGTATTCTTCCTGTTCCAAAACGAACATGTGATGGTTGAAGAATTGTTGGAGCTTCTCGTTTACGAAGTTAATCCAAAGTTGTTCAAAGCTATTTAAGTCGAAAATTTCGAAACCAGCAATATCAAGTACTCCAATCCACATCTTTCGTTCAATGGCACGTTGGTCAAGAGTCTTATTACAACGATTAATAAGCCAACGGAACATGCGAGAATAAATTGCTTTGGCCAAACCAGATACTGCCCAGTTAACTTGTTCAAGGTTTTGTCCTTTGTTCACCCATTCGTTTCCGACACGTACACGTGGTTTGGTCAATGCTTTGAGGAAAGCTTCGTGATCTATTCCAAAGTTGGCGGATGCACGCTTGGCATCTTAATTTGAATTATTTGACAATTAAAACTCATAAATTTTAAAATAAATACTGACCATCTTCAGTATCAACTTCAGCCTGTTCTTCACGTTGTCGTTGTTTGAATTTCATTTCTCCCATATGCATAATACCGGCAACGTTTTTGTACATGTTTTGTACCTAAAAATAACGAAAATAACAAATAGAATTGTAATCTCACTTCAAGGTCCTCAAAGCCCATAATGTCGAAGGCCTCTTGAGTGAGCTTCATTTCCTCTTTATCGTCTACTCCTTCAATTGTAAGTTCACCTTGAGACTGGAAATGGTAGTAGCTAAGCTCGTTGGTAAGCTGAAGCTTTGCACGTAATCCAGAATCGAAACCAGACATAATTTGGTAGAAAATGTGATAACAACGTTCTCCAGGTGCTTGACGTACCTTAACAGAAAGTTAAAAATCTGAAAATTATTTGAGGACAAACCACACGAGATTTTTCCAGCAAATAGTGTTCAATGTCACCTACAAGTAACTTTAAAATTGCTCTTAACTTTTTTTAAAAATACCGCCAGCCAATTTTCCAGATCCTGAGAAGTGTACTCGGATGAATTTACCGAAACGTGATGAGTTGTTGTTACGTACAGTTTTGGCATTTCCAAAAGCCTCGAGTACAGGGTTTGTCTGGACAATTTGTTCCTCGAGAGTACCACCCTTCTGTCCTTCCTTTTTCTCAGCTGCTTGTTGTGTTGCACCGACGATAGCAAAGTACGAGATAACCTTCTTGGTATTCTCAGTTTTACCAGCACCAGATTCACCAGTGATCAACATAGACTGGTTTTCGCGATCCTGGACCATGTTACGATAAGCTTCATCAGCAACCGCGAACAAATGAGGTGGCATTTCATTTCGTCGCTTGCCGATATAAGACTTGATCACACTCTGAAAATTTTATCAGTTGAAATCAGTTCAAGGAATTTAAATAATTTATTATACCTCAGTGTAGATTGGTAAACGTTTATATGGGTTGATTACAACACAGAAAAGTCCAGAATAGGTGTAAATCATCTAAATAATTTAATGATTGACTTAATGAGTTTTTTGATCACCATGCTGAAGTAACGTTCCTTCAAGTTGTTGAGCACAGA